CACCCGCACTAAGAATGTATCACCTGTGGCCAACAGTAACTCCCTGCTAGGGTTCACATTCTCCCCACGTATTTCTCAGCACTCCCCGCTGTCATCACAGCACCTGGCACAGGAGGTTGTAAGCGTTTCTAAGAGAAAGCAGCGGGGTCTCTTATTCTAACAAACCTAGATTAAGGAATTAATTTCAGTACTGACTGCCTGTCTTAAATGCAAGGATTTATCCAGAAAGTGGGAAGAAAGGACCTACTTCAAAGGACTCACCAAGAAATTCTTTTAAATTGTGAATGTCCCTATAACATAAAATAGGACTTGGGACTCGGATTATTTGTATAAAGCTTATAGTCTCAGAAAGGGCTGAGCTACATCCCTCCTACATAAAAATATGATGATTATAAATAGTATACTTAACCTCTGCTCTCAGATTGAACACTGCCCTAAAGCAAAATCTGGCTTAAGTACAATGCACAGATGTTCTGCAGCTCTTTACCAGGGGCTCCGTGTCAAAGGAGGGGGAAGGGTGAGTGGTCCTGTGGCCCTACACCTCTCCCCAAGTCTGACTGCAGGAGGGCCAAATAAAGGAAGGTCAAGAATGCTCCTCCTGGTCCTCTCGGGGGCTAGAGAAGTCTGAGGACATTTTCTGGGGAAGCACGATTCTGTCCAAAGCCAAAGTGGCTCAGATGCCTTCAGACGGCTGATACTTCCAGAAGGCCAACTCTCCATCGTCACTGCAGGAGGCCAGAAGCCCCCGCTCCTTGGGGTTCCAGGCCACGCAGTTGACATCCTGGGAGTGGGCCTGAGGCACATGGGCTGTCAGGGAGAAGGTGGGCTGCTGCGGGTCTGAGCCGGGATCCTCCTCAAATACTCGGATGGCATCATCCCCACAGGCAGTAGCCAGGGCCCCTGTCAGCTGACACCTGGGGGGTGGGGGGGAACAGGTGTGTCGGTGAGCGTGCAAGCGGCTCCTCCCTCCCAACCTTGCAAGTCAGGTGTGAGGGGCTGGTTCTAGTTCCAAACTTGAGGACTCAGCTACAAGTCTCTTATCCTAGAGCCTCTCTAACAAACATGTAGCTGCAAACATCACCCCAAGCTTCAAATGCTGCCATCTAGGTTTCTTTCAATATAATTAACCTAAAAAACTACATATAACTCTCAATTGTACTCTTCTCACTTGGCACAAGCAGTTGCCCTGACATGAAGTGTTCCTGACTTTTTTTTAAACTGATACAACAGGTCACTTAATTTTACCATACTTTTACTTGAGTCCATTTTTGCTATTTCCAAATGTATGCTAATATAAATAAAACTTAGATGCCCATCAAGTTTTTCAGTTATTTAGGGTTATTTCCTGAGGACAGACTCTCAGGGCCAGAACTGCCCTCTGACCAACTCTGTGTGAATGGTATGGCTTTCCTAGACTCCCTAAGGGGAGAAGCTGTGTTACCAAACCATAAAACCCCAGCCATGATGCCACAGTTTCAAGAACACATCTCTCTGGGTGGTTTGATGCTGTGGATGGTATGGAGCTACCCTCAGCCTGGGTCTAAGTCTGTCCCCTGCTCCTGTGAACCCGGGGCCAGCCAGTGCTAAACCAGCATGGAGACGTCTAGCCTGATCTGAGGACACGAGGGTGGCTGCTCTAGATCCCCACGTATTCCCAAAGGTGGAAGAGCGCCCTGACTTCTCGAGAATCTCTAGAATGGCTGGGCAGGGTGGAGGGGAGGAGTGGAGCTCTTACCAAGCGATGTCATAAATGGTCCTGGAGTGGAAGCCTGACAAGGTGCAGACACACTTCCAGCTGGCCTCGGAGCCGCTGCATGCCACCCCTGTGTGACAGATTTCTCTTGAGCCTTGGGCGTATCCATGCCCTGGGCACTTCAGGGGAGAACCTGCCCCACCGCAGGAGACCCTAGCTTGCCCTCCCCCATCCGCACCATCTGAGGTCTCATGCTCACTCCTCTGTCCCCATCTGTTACCTTATTTCTCTCCAAACTCCTTATGCCCTATGCTCCATCTACCCCATGCAGATCCCTGTTCCTGGTGTAAATCTAGGCCATCTTTACTTTCAATGCCTTTGCTCATGTGGTCCTCTTTGCATCTAGAATTTCCTTTTTTTCTTTTGTGGCTATGTCTGGCAACATGTGGGAGCTTAGTTCCCTGATCAGGGATCAAACCAGTGCCCCCTGCATTGGAAGCATGGAGTCTTAACCACCGGAAATCACAGCAGTCTCCTCTTATGTTAAAATGCTACACATTCCTTTCCGTCTGGATGAAATAGCCCCCCTTCCCCAGAGCCTCCCAGGATTCTTCCAGCACCTTCCCTGGAGCCCTCCCGTGGCACATCTATGAAGGGCCCAGCTTTCTGTGACTCATCCATGTGTCTCGGCCCCTCGGCAGAGACGGGTCTTCAGCTCCCAGGTGGGCCCTCACCTTGCTCATTGCCTGGGAGATACTGGCGCCAGATGCGCACGGTGCGGTCGTCACTGCAAGATGCCAGGCGCTGGCCACTGGGGTCAAAGGCCAAGCTCCACACGGTGGACTCGTGGCCTTCGAGGGTGGCACAGCATACCCAGTCATCCTCTTCCTCTCGGTAGAGCTTCACTGTGTCATCATAGCTGGCGGAGGCCAGCAGCTGTAGGGAGGCCAAGGACAACACAGTACGTGTGTGTAGGGCCCGGGAGTGTCTGCGACTCCAAGACTTCTCCCTCCCAGGACAGGACAGTCCCAGGGATGTGCTTTTATAAAGGCACTCACTGATGTCTTCTGGTCACAGACAGAGATTCCTGGGAAAGCCAGGTTGAGGCTGAAGAGCAGAAGGCAGCTGGGTACAAGCCTCCACGTCACAATTCCTTCCCACCAAGATACCTGGCTCTTACCTCCTGGCTCGGGTGCCAAACCACATGCTTGACATCCTGTGTGTGGGAGTTGAGGACGCTGACACATTCATACTCGTCCTCTTCATCAACTGTGGGAGAGAAAAGAAGGGGGCACACAAGCTGACTGTCAGGGACACAAGGGTGGGGGGTTGGGGGGAGATTCGGTGGCAGGCTCTCAAGTGTACCTGGAGGGATCTGGACTCACCTTCCCAGACCCACACACTCTTGTCTCGGCTGCAGGTGGCAAGGAGGTTGCCAGACGGAGCCCAGGCCACTGACTTGACCTCGTTTTCATGGCCCTCCAGAGTGGTGGCACACTGCACAGTGAAGGGGGACAAGACTCAGTGCCGGCTGAGACCCCCGTGGTCCTCGCAAGGTCAGTCCCCCTAACCCGGGCCGGCGCAGGTTCCTAGACCAGGAGCCTCCCGGTGGGCGAGCAGCTAAGAATCAGCCGGCCAACGCAATGCACACAGGTTCCAACACTGGTCCCCCGGAAGACTCCACATGCCCTGGAGCAACTAAGTCCGTCTACCACAACTAGTGGAGCCCAAGAGCTCTACAGTCCCTACTCCAAAACAAGAGAAGCCACCACAAGAAGTCCATGCACCGCAACAAAGAGTAGGCCCCACTTCCACAACTGGAGAAAGCCCACGCAAAGCACAGCCAAAAATAAAATATTAGAGAAAAAAAAAAGTTCCTAAACCAGCCCTGGGGATCAAACAGGCAACAATCCTGGTCCCATGTACTTGCCTCAAAGTCATCCTCATTCTTCTTCCAAATGCAAGTGGTGGCATCAAAGCTGGCCGAGGCCAGGTAATTTCCGCACGGAGACCAGGCCACCTTCCTCACGGTGCGCTGGTGGCCTTCACAAAGGACAGATTTGCAGTTCCAGCTGTCACCTAAAAGCAGAGGATAGGCCAGGCTCTGGAGCTGGGTGCACAAGAAGGTGCGGAAGCACTAGCCATGCCATTGGGTAATCGGGTCCAGCGTCAGAGCCAAGCTGGGGGTCGAAGCTGTGTGAGTGTATCAACAACAGGCTTTAATTGACTCCAGTTAAAGTTACAGAAAGCTGGATGCATCCTTCTGAAACAAATCTGAGGAATCACCTATGTGTGTGTGTGTGTGTGCCCGCCCAAAGTCACTTCAGTCACCTCTGACTCTTTGCGACCCCATGGACCATATAGCCTGCCAGGCTCCTCTGCCCATGGGATTCTCCAGGCAAGACTACTGGAGTGGGTAGCCATTCCGGCCTCCAGGGGCTCTTCCTGACCCGGGGATCCAACTGGCCTCTCTAGCATTGGCAGTCGCCACCTGATAAATGCCCTTGGGATAAAATCTAAATTTCTTCAACTTTTGAGAATTACTTTGAAGCCTACTTTCTTCCTTCTCATTTTCCTGCCTCAGCAACTATCACAATTTCCCTAACAGTTTCAGTCTCTCTATTGACATTTTAGCTTCTGGTAGCTGCTGATTCCTTCACCGGAAAACCCGTTCTCAAAGTGGCTAAGGTTCAACTCGAAGGTAACCCCTCCATCCTTTCCCTCGGCCCGCGACCCTCGCCCAGGGTCTGCCTGCCCCGCAGGCTGCGTGCTCCCCGAGACTGGCACCCACAGCAAGCGCAAGGAGACCGCTTGGCGGCAGGGGTCGTGCCGCCGGACCGGGGCTTACCCTCCCTGCCCCAGATGCGGACGCTGCGGTCGCCGCCGCACGAGGCCAGCAAGGTTCCCGCGGGGTTCCAGGCCAGGAACCAGCAGCGGGAGTCCGGGTGCGCCAGGATTCGGCTAAGCAGCACCAGCGAGTCCTTCATGGCTGCCCGGCGCAGGAGGAGACAAAAATAAGCAGAGCCAGCCGCGCCGACTGCGGTTCCCACAGAGCAAACCCCCTTGCGCCCGAATCCAGGGTCCACCCTGGAAATGAAGCGCCCGCAGCTTCGGCCGCGCTGCCTTCTGGGAGCTGTAGTCGTCCTGTCCCCACACCAGTCCCCCAACCCCGGTCCCACCTCCAACGAAAAGCATCGCGGCACGGCCTGGAACTACCAATCCCGTCAGGCCTTGCGCAGGGAACCGGCGGCGCGCCCGGCCAGTGTCGCGCGCCGAGAACGGGGCGGGGAGCCGGAGGAGGCGGGGTCAGAGGTGGAGGAAGCCGGAAGTGGACCGGGCCGGGGTCTGTCCGGGCGTTGCGGGTTTGGGCCCTGAAATCGCTCCGGTCGGGGTAACTGAGGAGCCCGTGAGCGGGACGGAGCGACGCCATCCCGGCACTGAAGCCTGCTGACTGGTGAGGATCAGGAGTCGCTGAGGGGTGGGTCCTATCTGGGCATAGATCGGACCGCAGAGCGCTGTTCCCATATCCTGGGTCCCTGATCCCTGCGGCCCTGCTTGGCCCTCCGCCCCTGGGCACCCTCTGGCCAGGACCCCGAGTCTGGCTCTTTCTTTCACAAGCAACGGATACCTCCGCCCCAGCCCTTCTCCCTACTGTATGCTGCCAAGGTCCAGCGGGCCCCCAGCCCTCTCCGGGTCATCGTCCCGCACCTCCGCAGCTCCACTCCGGGGACCCCGTCCCCGCCCCCCGAAGCTCTGCGGCTCTCCTGTCTCTGCTCGGCCCTCGGTCCCACCCCCACCCCCTGGGGTCGGCCCTGACCGCCTTCCTCCAGCCTCACCTGCTACGAACCCCGTACGTTGCTCTCCTCCCCCCGGACAGGCAGGCCCTGTGCGCCCCGCGGAGGTCGGCGGCGACCAGCAGCGACCGCAGAGCGACGGCGGGCGGCCCCGGACATGTACGCCCCCGGAGGCGCAGGGCTGCCCGGCGGGCGCCGGCGGAGAAGCCCGGGAGGCAGCGCTCTGCCCAAGCAGCCGGAGCGTAGTCTGGCCTCGGCCCTGCCGGGTGCCCTGTCCATCACCGCGCTCTGCACCGCGCTCGCCGAGCCTGCCTGGCTGCACATCCACGGTGGCACCTGTTCCCGCCAAGAGCTGGGGGTCTCCGACGTCCTAGGCTACGTGCACCCGGACCTGCTGAAAGGTGAGGGCGCTGCGCGCCAGCCCGGGCCTCCTCTGCAGGGTGCGGACTGGAGCTGAGATAACCTGGGGTAGGCACCTGCTTGAAGGAAACAGTCCATTGCTGCCTGATGTTCTTACCCACCAGGTGGCTCTGTTTGGGGTCCGGCCCCTCATTAATTCTGATGTTATTCAGCCAAGCACCCACTCCTCAACGCCATGGTAATCTGGACTGCTATTTTCGGCTTCTGCTGGGGGAAGGGCACTGTATATCAGAGAAAAGATAAGGGTGCTAGGCATCACAATTACCTGTCTCCCTCTAAGGAGCCAGAGATACAGGAAGACTTTTTTTGGGGCGGGGGGGGGGGGGTCAGCTTGAGAAAAAAGAACTTTAAAATACGGCTAGATTTTAAAAGATGTTTGTGAGTTCTGCAGTCTTTGGATTGTTGTTAGAGAAAAAGGGAGTCTGTGGTATTTTCAGTAACCAAAAGTCAGTTCCATTGCCACCCTCAGTGAAACAATAGGAATTTGGCTCGTGGAACCCTCACAAGTGTGACGGAATGAGGTAAGGTTGCTTTGTTCAGTATGGTGCTTCCCGGCCAGGGAAGCAGAAGAAAGAGGAACCAGACCATCATCTTTACTGGATGCAGAGGGGGCCTGTAGCCTATCCTTCCCAGCCTTCGTCTCTGGTAATGAAGGTACAGGCTATGTGGTGTGGGGGCAGTATTGCACTGCCTGGATTTTACAGGGAAAATGGTCGGTGGATTGCAAACAGCCCTTATTAACAGCAGAGTTAATTACCCCCAAGGCCTTTTGAACCATTCCTGAAGGTTTTTTCTGTGTGCCACTCCTGGCTGTAATTCATTCCAGATGTGTGTTGCCCCATGTCTCAGATTCCCCTTCCTGCTAGGTATCTTCAGCATTGTCTAAGGATTCAAACTGCCTGGGGTTTGGTGAAAAGGTCAAGTTCTCTTTGAGTGCCTGGGATCGTATACGACTTGTGCAGGTCGAGGCTGAAAAGCCCTGTCCTTGTGGCCTCATGTTGTCCTTCTCTGAGTGTTCTCTTGCTGGTTTGCATTTCTCTTTGAGTTTTCAAAGCTTTCAGATGATTTTGTAGAGAACAGGATGGGGGCTTCTGGTTTGTTTCCAGATATCACCGTGATGATTGCTTTCACTGTGTTGGCTCACTAATACCTATGGGCCTCGATGGTGGCTCAGATGGTAAAGAATCCACCTGCAATGCAGGAGACCCAGGTTTGATTCCTGGATCAGGAAGATCTCCTGGAGAAGGAAATGGCAGCCCACTCCAGTATTCCTGCCTGGGAAATCCCATGGACAGAGGAGCCTCACATACTACAGTTCCTGGGGTCACAGAGAGTCAGACACAGCATAGCCACTAACGCTAACACTTACCCACAGGATGGAGACCACGTGCTGTGTAGCTTTCTCTGTGGCCAAAAGCCCATCACGCTTGAGTTGAGTCAGGGTGACTTTTCTGTTAGCACGTTCCCCAGAACTTGCCTTCTTTGAGGCACAGCTGCCACTTTCCACTGCTTCGTCCAGACCTTGGCAGTTGAACCCCTTGGTGGTCAATATTTCAAGTGCTTGGTGTCATATCAAAACCGGGAGTGTATGTGCATGCTCCGTTGTGTCCTACGCTTTACAACCGCATGGACTGTAGCCTGCCAGGCTTCTCTGTTCATGGGGATTCTCCAGGCAAGAATACTGGAGTGGGTTGCCATTTCCTTCTCTAGAGAATCTTCCCAACCCAGGGATCGAACCCGAATCTCCTGCATCTTCTCCACTGGCAGGCGGATTCTTTACCACTAGCTTCCTGGAAAGCCCCCAATCTGAAAGGGAATTCATGATGCCTCTCTATTTCGGATTGTTCCTAAGAAGGCTTGTAAAATTCCTGCTATGGAGGGAGGGGCCCATCTGATTCCATGTCTTCATTCCAAAGGTCCAGGAAACTGTGTCTCAGAGAAGTGAAATGATCTCTGCAGGGGCACACAGCTGGGAACAGCAGAGTTGAGTGCACCTCACTTTTGACACCAGTATAAAGTGATGCTGTCTCGTTTATGTTTGCTTTACTTCAGCTGTCATAAGGAGCGACCTCACAATGGTTTATCTCACCCTGGCATACATCCTTGTCAAAGGCACATCAAAAATAAATTCTTGGTTCTGTTCTCCTTTGTTCACACACGTATCTACCTTTTCTAAGAAATTATCCAAGCTGGATTTTGTCTTTTATAAGGCAGGTCGCCTTCACCTTTACATGATGCCTGCCTGTTCATGTGTTTAGGGATCTTAACCCATGAATGGTTTCAGCTTGGTTTTCCTTGGTCTCCTTGGCATTGCAAGCTGGGAACACTTGGTGTCCTTTAATAAAGGCGTTGACAGTGCTGCCTCATGAGTTATCACAGAAGGTGGTAAAGAATCTGAAGGTCCCTGATTGCTTCTCTTCTTTGTGCGTGCTTAGTTGCTCAGTCATGTCCGACTCTCTGTGACCCCATGGACTGTAACCGCCAGGCTTCTCTGTCCATGGGACTCTCCGGGCAAGAATACTGGAGTGGGTTGCCATTTCCTTCTCCAGGGGATCGTCCCAACCCAGGGATCGAACCCGGGTCTCCTGCACTGCAGGTGGATTCTTTACCTTCTGGTCCACCAGGGAAGCCCCCTTCTTCTCTGTACCAGTTGGCTTTTGGGTGCCCACTGGGCCTTCAGTCGTTTGCTGCTCTGTAGGGTTGTGCCGAACCTCCGGGTCTAGCAGATATCCTAGTGTGGAGGCCTGGCTATTCCCCATCTCAGGAGAGGGCAGAGCTCTGGGGTACAGGCCTGGTGCCTGTAGGTGCTTCCAGAGGGAGAGCAAACCCTGCCAGCTCTCTGCAGGTAATGGGGAGTGGAGCGGGTCACCAGGCTTTGGCATGATGCCTTCCCGTGTCTTGGCCCCCTGCCTGAGTAGCGGGCATCGTGCTAAGCACCCTTCATGCCTGGCTGTAGTGTCCCCTAAACAGCGTCTTTATTTGGTAGGTAACTGTCATCACCGCCATCATACACACACAAACACTCGCAGGCCTTAGGCCCAGGCTGCTCTCTTACACCCTTACCACTGAGCCTTAGGGCACACTAGACTTTTTCCTCCATCGGAGCTGTCCTGGACCTCTTACTTCCCCATTCTGGTTGAGTTTTTCTCACCAGCCGAGGCAAAACTGTTTTTTATTCCTCTTGCCCTCTCGTTGCTGGGCTGAGTCAAAGCCCATCATCCTCTCATTCCCAGAGCCCTGAAGGCTTTTACAAATGCCATGACTCAAAAGATCCTGCCGGGAATTCCTTTACTGCCCCGGGCTGCCCGCTTCTCACACAGCTCGTCAGCCTGGGCCAGGGGGCCAGAGAGGTGTCCAGACCTCTGGTGGCCCCCAGCAGGGGAGCCCAGATAACCGTTCCTTCTGAGCCTCAAGCCCTCTCTGCCCCTCAAGTGCGCCCAGCAAGGGGGCAGCGGGGACCACAGGCTCAGGAAGCATCTCTGGAGAATGAGGGAGTTTAGGATGTGAAGTCGGGGGAATCACGATTGACAGCAAGCCATGGGAAGGTCAAGGGCCTTCTGGGAAGGGCTGGCATGTCTGAGGGGTGGTGACCAATGCACCTGGCATTTCTGGATCCTGTAGGGGCGTGTCCTTGGAGGCAGCTGGGCCAGGACCCTTGGGGTCTGTGGGGCGACCCAGCCGGGCACTGGAGGGCCCTCTTGGAGTCTTGTGTCAGAAGCCTTGTCTGGAAGCTAAAAAGTCAAGAGAGGGGTGCAGCTGAATAAAGTGGGTGAATGAATGCTGGAAGGACTGACTCAAGGACTCCAGTGAGGGGGCAATAGGAGAAGGAACAGAAGGGAACTGGCGAGAAGCCACTAGAAGCTTCCTGCCTGCTGCCTCTCTGGGTCAGGAGGGGATGAGAGCCATGGGCAGGTAGACAGGAAGAGCGGGGGCCTTCCAAACAAATCCAGCGCAGTGACTCACCAATGACCTTGGGCAAAGTCAGGTCTGTGGGATCCTATTACATGGCAGCTGCCGTCCTCCCGGTGACTGGAGGGGACAGGCAGGCAATGGTTACCAGAGTAAACAGGCCACAGCACAACTGCAGCACAGGGTGCGTGTGGTCTGACCAGAGTAGTGGATGCAGCGCTGGTGGAACTTAAATTCAGGGTTCTGCTCCACGTGCCATTTCTCCTCACAAATAAAATAACACACACAGAGCATTTGAGGATGGGCTTCTCTTAGGCAGCCCTCTCAACAGAGCAGATATTCATTGCCCTCCCTGCCACACCGATGTCTGGCAGGGGAGGAGAGAAAGGGACATTGAGATCCCGACCCCAGGAGAGCCTGAGCAGGGTTCTAAGCAGGGCTGGGGTAACGCTGCCTGTCTCTGCTGTGTGCTCTCAGACCCTCTGATGAGAGCCCACCGGGGACATGGGGCAGGGTTCTGGGATATCTGTCAGCATCACTCCAAGGGAAGTTCCCATTTGGCTCCCCCTCCCCTGACCCGGAAGGTTTGCTCAGAGCTTTGGAGTGGAGAAAGGCATAAGGCAGTCAGGTGGAAACAAAACCTGTTTGAACTGTGGGTGCAAAGCCCCTTCTCTGGACCATGTCATCACCCCCGGGGTGCTGATCCTCTAGCCCCCACTGGCTGATGTGCATGGACAGGGCAGTTCTTGGTGTTGGGAGGAAAGGCATGCCAAGGAAGACACTGTTGGGGCCACCCAGCACAGAGGGAGTGAGGCTACTCCTTCCTGGCACTTTGGGGTCTGGCCGCCCCCAAGGGCCCTTGTGCAGATGGGGCAGGTGTCATTGCTTCCACTGACAGGTGAGCGGGCAGATGTCAAGGACAGCTTGCTCGAGGTGATGCATAACCTGTGGTGGGACTGAGACTGGGAGCCAGTTCACATGCCTTCTGCTTTTTTTTTTTCTAATATTTCTTTATTTGGCAGCACCAGGTCTTAGTTGCAGCAGGAGAATCTTTAAATCACAGCATGTGGGGTCTAGTTCCCTGACCAGGAATTGAACCCAGGCCTCCTGTGTTGGGAGCTCGAGGTCTTAGCCACTGGGCTGCCAAGGAAGTCCCCTGCCTTCTGCTTTTAAGAGTCAAGACTCTGGCCTTCCCTGATGGCCCAGTGGTAAAGAATCCACCTGCCAATGCAGGAAACATGGGTTTGATCCCTGATCCGGGAAGATCCCATCTGCCATGCACCACAACTACTGAGCCTGTGCTTTAGAGCCCAGGAGCTGCAACTGCTGAAGCCCAAGGCCTTAGGCCCATGCTCTGCAACCCTAGAAGCCACTGCAATGAAAAAAGCCCATGCACCACAACTAGAGTCGCCCCTGCTCACTGCAAGCAGAGAAAAGCCCACACCCGGCAAGGAAGACCCAGAGCAACCAAAAATAAACAAATAAAATCACACTGTATATGTATTTTTTTAATTAAAAAAGATAAGAGCCAGGCTCTGACGGTTGCTGAAGCTTAGATCACACCCAGAAGGTTCGGCTCAATGATTCCCAGGAGGACCTCCATTTATCGTTCAACGACCCAAACCTTTTGGCCTAGAAGAGAATCCATGCTTCCAGCTGTTTCCGTAATAAGCTCAGCAGACACTGGTGCTGACGGCTCTGCCAGCACCCGCGGTCCCTTTTGACTTCTCCCTCAGATCCAGCTCTTCAGGATCTGATCGATTAGCTCCATTGGGGAAATATGAAACGGCTGACTCTGGTGCTCAGTGATGGTGAGCATCACTGTGCCAGGGAGCCTGACACTGGTTTGGAGGCCAGCTCTGTGCTGTGTGTGACCTGCAGGAAGTCACTTAACCTCCTGGAGCCTCTTCCTCATCTGAACCACATGATGAATCCCCTGGAGTGGAGTGAGGCTGCCCCACCTGTGTGCTCAGGCAGGCACACCTGGAGGGAAACAGAAGAAACTGCCAACAGGTCGTCTCAGAGCCCCCCTGGGGGTCCAGGGGTTAAGACGCTGCACTGCCACTGGAGGAGGCTCAGATTCAATCCCTGGCTGGGGAACGAAGATCCCGCATGCCATGCGGGGTGGCCAAAATAAAATTTAAAAAAGATGTTTATCTCTTGGGAGGGGCAGCTGAACATCTGCGGAAGTCTTCCTTGTGGCTGAACTAAGGATATTCTGAAACATAAGACCCCTGGATGTGTGTCCAGTGGATGTACGTTGTAAAGGATGGTAATACAATGAACATCCTGTAGTCACCATGCCACCTAAGAAGGGATCTCTGAAGCCCTGGGTGTTCCATTTTTCATTTAAAACTAGTTGTTAAATTAAAACCGAGTAGCACAATTAAAGCATCGCTCAGAGGGCCTGGCCATGTTGAGTAATCTGGGAGGAATCTGAACCCAGCCTGCTGCAGAGCAGACTGTGATGCAAACCTTTCCACCCTGCCGCTCACAAGTTATTCTTGGAGGCACTAGAAGAAAACCTGTGTCTTGGCAGGTCCCTGCCGTGTGCCACGTGGACCCCCAGAAGAACTGTCACAGAGAGCTTTTAGCAGCATTCACAGTGCAGCCAGGAAACAGCCCATCTCTGGGAACTTTTGTTTTAGAGGGCCCTGTGGGCTTGCTTCTAGACTCCTTCAGGCCCGCAGGGCCAGATTAAATGAAGGCTGGACCTCGGTGCTGGCAGAGTTCAGGCACAGGCAGGCCTCCTGGCAGCAGGCGATCACCCAGGTTGGATGAGTGCGCTCCAAACAGATGGTCAGCTGACAGGAGAATGACAGATAGCTCTGAGGGCAGCTTGGCAGGTGACCTGAAGCCAGATCAAGGCATATGAGTCATGTGGGCTCAGCCAACATCTGCCTGGCGAATTTTGCACCCAAAGCAGAAGTGTGTGCTGTCACAAAGGCCCAGGGCCTCTGGGTATCTTGGTCTGGTTTTTCCGTGTGGGAGGCCAGGCCTCAGTCCAGGTGACCCCATGAGGCTAGTCAACGTCTGGTGATTTGAGTCAGTTTGATTGGGCCCAGGTGCCCTCCCCAGCTTCTGGACTCTTCCTCGTCAGTCACCTTCCTCTGGGTCCAGTGTTTCCTGGAGTGTAAGGCTCAAGCCGCCTGCGCTACTTGTGGCGATTCAGACCCCCAGGCCCTGCTCCAAACCAAGAGCTCAGAACCTCTGCAGCTTGGGCACATGCGCTCAGCCAGCACCCTGCTCTTTCTCTGTGCACCTGGGAGGGGTAACCACCATCCCGCGGCCTCTCAGCCTGAGATCCAAACTCAGGGAAGGAGTGGACAGTGTAAATCTCGTCAGCCCTTTTCACAACTTTCCAAATCCATTTTGGTGATCTAAATAAAAGAAGAACTTGCTGGTGGCTGAATAGGGGAAGTTAAGGCCCATTTTCTACTTTTTATCAAAGCTTAAAATGGTTTCTTTTTGGATCAGCCTTTATCCTGTGTTTCTAGAACTATGGCAGGTTGCGTAGATATCAAAGGGAACTGACAGTGCAGTCTAGATGGATTAAAATTTTTTTTTAAAAAAAGAAAGCAAGAACGATATTAAAGCCCCAGAAGGACATGCAGGTTGCTCGCTGTGTCCAGTGTGCAGTTGTCAACCTGGGGTCTCTCACCAGGACCCTGGGGACCCCTTACTCTTTGAATGTTGGGCCTCCTGTTTTAGCATCTTCCTTTTTCTTGGTCCCTTCCCTCGTTTTTGCTACAGCGAGCAGCCCCCAAAGGCTTTGCCCTCGTTTTAGAAGGTATTTGGTGCTGTCAGCTTCTGAACCTTCCACGCTTTTGTGGTATAAATCTGATTGCTTCTTAGCTTTTCCCATTTCTGGCTTATACTTCAGCTTATCTCTTGCGTCAAGTCCGTTCTAGCTCTGAGGCCCTTTACATCCCAGTTTTCAGAATTCTGTTTTGCCCTTCCTCTCTTTTGTGCAGGTCTAGGTCTTAAAAATTTTTTTGTTTTGTTTTGTTTTAGTAGGATTTAGGGAGGAGCAAAAATAAATAAGGAGGTCCAGTCTACCAGCTCTCCTCATGTATTTAGTTCTCTCTTGTAATTATATGGTTCTCTAAACTGCTTCAGCTTCTTTTCTATTTACTTATTTTGGCTGCACTGTATGGCATGTGGGATCTTAGTTCCCTAACTAGGGATCAAACCCATGCCCCCTGCAGTGAAAGCACAGAGCCTTAACTGCTAGACTGACAGGGAAGTCCCTTCAGTGTCTTTTTGAATGAAAAACGGGACAAATGAGTGACTGGATAGAGAATGGACTCAAATGGGACTCTGGCCCTTGTCCCTTTGACTGTCTCAGCTTAGAAGTCAAGGGGCTTTTCCTGCCAGCTGGAAGCACACTTTAGCAGAATGGGTTAATGTGTCACATTAATTCTCAGGGTCTTTAAAGATGATTAGAAGAGCGTGGCAAATACACTTAACTCTTTGAACAACAGTGGGATGCTGACTCTCCCAGCAGTTGAAAATCGTGTTTGATTTGTGTAATCTATTGTTGGCCTCTGGGTCCGTGATTCCACATCTCAGATTTAACCAACTCTGATCATATAGTACTCTTGAAAAACAATCCACCTCTAAGTGGACCCTCGTATTGTTCAAGGGTCCACTGTACACTGAAGTGGAGTGCTGCACTTAGACTAGTCCTGATGGGAAGGGAGGAAGGACTCGAGGCTCATGGGAGCAGTGACCCAGGGGTCCTGTCTGCTAACAGAGGCTCCACCCCCTTCTCAGACCCCCTGGGAGCAGGAGCCAAGACCCTTTAGTCCTCTCCTAGCTCCCCTGGACTGTGGTGTGGGGAGAACTCTGAGGCGGGGACATCCTGCCCCAGGCTGTTCCTGGGAGCCCTGAGGATTTGGTTCTTCCCCTGCAGACTTCTGCATGAATCCCCAGACAGTCCTGCTCCTGCGGGTCATTGCCGCCTTCTGCTTCCTGGGCATCCTGTGCAGCCTCTCTGCGTTCCTTCTGGATGTCTTTGGGCCCAAGCATCCTGCCCTGAAGATCACCCGTCGCTATGCCTTCGCCCACATCCTCACAGGTAAGCCCGGGCCGCTCCCAGTGCGGGAGCGACTGCCACGAGGCTGGGGCATCCTCTCTGGAGTTGCAGGTGGGGGCCAAGGGCTTTCCACGCGCAGACAGAGTTCCCGCTGCTTGTTCCAGCTCTGGCCTTTCACAGAGCACTGGGGCGGTGGGGCAGACCCACTCGGCCGAGCTGGAGGGAGCAAATGTTGTTAGAATTTCTAAGAACTGTCGTCACTCTCCAAGAACGGGATCTGAAGCTCAGTTGGGGTCATGGGGCCCAGAAGGAGCCAGAGAGGAAACACTGTGTCTTCCTGGAGTGCATGGTCTCAGACTCCCTCTCCTCCCCATTCCTGTAGACCAGGCTTCTCTTCCCTCGTGACGGGGCCACTGTGTTGATTTGACTTGGGTTAGTACTGACTCCAGATACCTATTCCTCTCAGGCATCCATTGACCTCCAGCAGGCCTAGTAGCCCAATTCCAAATTCTTAAGACAGAGAGAATCTGACCGGCCTGGGCAGGGTGAGGCCTCTGTCCCCAGCGCTGGCCACAAAAGCTCCCCGTCACAGGGTGTGGGGCCAGGCAGGTTCTCTGAGAATGGGGTTTGGGTGGAAAGGCTGCAGCTGGTTCCTCAAGTATCCAGGCTGTGGGGTGCCTGCTAACCCCTTTTCCCTCTGTCCCCCCAGTCCTGCAGTGTGCCACAGTCATCGGCTTCTCTTACTGGGCTTCTGAACTCATCCTGGCCCAGCAGCAGCAACATAAGAAGTACCACGGGTCCCAGGTGTACGTCACCTTTGCTGTTAGCTTCTACCTGGTGGCTGGCGCTGGCGGGGCCTCCATCCTGGCCACAGCGGCCAACCTCCTGCGCCACTACCCCACGGAGGAGGAGGAGCAAGCGCTGGAGCTGCTCTCGGAGATGGAGGAGAATGAGCCCTACCCGGCAGAGTACGAAGTCATCAACCAGTTCCAGCCGCCCCCGGCCTACACACCCTAGTGCCCCGTGGGCTTTGGTCCTGGGCCGCCCTCCCCACTCTACAGCGCCGCCCCACCCAGAGGTGCTCCTTTCCCCAGCAGGTCTCACTGGTAGGATCCTGACCACCGCCACCAACCTTCCCCAGGAGACACTCTACCTTTAGGGCTGTTCCTGGATCCCCGCTCTCGAAACCTGGGGTTCACTGATTTTAGATAACACACTCTTTTCCCTCTTGAACCTGCCTCTCCCTCCACGGTCACTAGTCATTACCAACCAGGGACGGTCATACACGTTTCCCCCTTTGTGAGCCTGATCTCTGAGGCTGAGATTTTCCCTGGGGTGCTGTTGACAGTGGACAGTCCCTGATGGAAGAAGCATCCCTGGAACCCAAGGGAAAGGGGACCATGCCCCGCAGGCTCGCCTCATAGCTGTCCCCATGTGTCCCCCAGCGGTAACTCTGGACCGAGCCCCTCTCCCGCCCCTTCTGGGAAAACCCAGCACAGGGCCGCCTGCCCTGTGGATTTCTCTGCACTTTAGTCTTTGGACTGCCCGTCACGTGGGTCCTGTTTTTGCGGGAAGAAGGGGTGGCCTCCAGGAAGCAGAGCAAGTACCTGCCCTGCCCCATCCCTGGCTGGTAGCCCGAGGCCTGGTGGGGAAAGTGGGTCTCCTGAGGCCCAGAAAGGACCATTGTGAAGAGGGCCGCATCACCCCAGCCCCATCACCTCTTAAAATGTGAGTGGTTTTTAAAAGGGAAAAACAGCCAAGCAACACCACCAACACTCTGTTTTTAAACTAGTGACAAGAACGTTGTCTATTGATCCCATCCCTTTTGGCCCTGCAGCGTTTGGGGCCCCGTCCCTTCCAGTCCCTGGCCTTTGCTCCCCGAATCTCTCCCGGCAGAATGCAGCCCTCTCCGTCCCCCCCTCCCTCCCTCCCAGTGGCCGTGGCTCCTGGGGGCCTTCTGTGGGACCCAGAGCTGCATCATTGCCCAGCGGCGGGCTGAGGACTGTGGCCTGGCTGGCTGGCCAGCGTGGTGCTCCTCAGGACTGCAGCGCTGAGACATAACCTGGCCTCCGTGTAGAAGCTGGGGCAGCAGGGCAGGAAGCCCGCCACCCTCCACATAGGAACCATGCCCAGGGGACCCCGCCGCGTGAGGCGTTGGAGCTGCCTGGTCAAGACGGGCAGACCGCCTGTGTCCTCCAGGCTCGACGGGACCCCTGGACTGTGACTCGGGGCGGTGGCTTGCTGCACACCCCTCTCCCCTTCTTGAATGTACTCTGGTCTCACAGCGCGCTACCAGCTCTTTCTTGCCCGGCCATCACTGGCTGTCTTGTTTGCCACATGTGGCCCTGGATCAGCTGAGTTTTCTGCCCTGAGACCTGGGGTATCAAGTGGGAGAAATCTGAGAGCTTCGGTGCAGATCCAAATGGCCATGCTTCTTGGGAATCTGTCCAGGGTTGAGCAGAAAAGCAGACAGATCTTCGTGTCCTTCACAGGCCATGGACAGAGTAAGACTGGGGAACGGACACCATTGTCGACCTGTGACTCGAAGGGACTGTCATGTCCCCGTCATTCCGTGGCCAGACTGCCCAAGGGTGTCTGGACAGATGTCCATTGGGGTGGTGAAAGCCGTGCCTGCGCCTGAGTGAGCGGCCGCCTGGGGCTCTGTGATGCCAAAGCGTCCCATGGTGACTCACACTCTTCCGGACTCTTCTCTCAGGCAAGAATGTGTGATACCTGAGCATAGTCATGAAGCTCAAATCAGTCTCGTCTTGCTCTAATGTGCGAGTTTGTCTTGGAAGATTTCCAGGGCATGGACAGCTCTCTTGACCCTGGGGGTCTGAGCTGGCAGACCAGGAGCCCGGGCACCGAACACGCATGCCAAAGTGACTGGTCATCTCACGAGGACCCACACCCAGGACCCTGTGAGCCGTTCCATGTGGTTCAGAATCCAGTTTTTATTAGCTCCCCAAGCCTCTAGCCTTTCTTTCTCTTTTCCCCTGCCCTTCTGACACTGATAGTTGTCATATAAACTCCCCTGGTTGTGTTCTTTTTTTTTTTTTTTCCTAGAAAAAAAAAAATTAAAAAGCAAAACAAAAAAACCAGAAACCACAAGTAAGAATGTAATTGCCAATGGCTCCCTGTCATTTTTCGGTCCCAGTTTCTCCAATTTGGTTTGTTCCCTGCCTGTTGGAGAAGCAGGAGAAATTGAAGAAGGGATTACCTGATGGTCCAGTGATTGGGACTCCACACTTCCACTGCAGGTGGCACAAGTTCAGTCCCTAGTCAGGAAACTAAGATCCTCTGTGGCATGGCCATGCGCGCGCACGCACACACACACACACACTCGCGCGCGCGCACGCACACACAACAGGAATTGAGGAAGTGTGCCATAATTTTTAAAAGGTTAAGGAACTTGAACCTGCTTGCTCCTTGTGAGTCATCTGCACCTAAACAGTCCTCTAATCCTAACAACTTCCACCCTGAGGTTCCAAGGCTGGGAACCAAGGATGCCTCCCCCCAGGTCTTGACTTCAGACCCTGAGCTCTTCCCTCTATATCCCTTGAGCTGCAGAAGAGTGTGGCTTCAGAAGTCCAGCCTGTGTATGGGGATGCACAGACTTCAGGGCCAGGACTTGCAGAAGAAGATGCACTTTCTTTAGAAGTCATGGGGAATGATCCCTGACGGTTCCCCATGTTCCCTTTATCCATTCACAGTGTCAGCTGGCACCCGGGCCCCAGCGTGCATCATGGTGACAGAGCTCAGGGCTCCCTGGAGGGAGCAGCCAACTTGGCATTATTATTATTATTACTGGGAAGAGTACACGTCTTTCTCAGGAGCTGGGAATGTGTGCTCATTTCATTTCAGACACTTAATGAAAGGTGCTTTGCATAAAAAGCACTGTTTTAGTCTCCGTGAGTGAAATGTGATGAGCTTCAGAGGCCGTTCGCCAAAGATTTTACATTCTTAGTCTAGGAGATGGACTCGTCCGTGGAAAGAGAAAAGTGACTAACAGACAGCTGGGAACGTGCCATGCCCAGAGGGGTTCCTACCTCAGGCGTCCTTGACAGGCAGGGCTTCGCCTGAGAGGGTGTCGGCAGTGGGGTGGGGGGGAGTTCCTGCTGATGAAAAGCAGGAGGAGAGACAGCTGGAGGCCAGGATGTGGTGAGAGAAGAGGTCGGGAAGGCAGGGGGGCCCACTGCAGGGACCAGCAGCAGTGGAAAGCCCTGGAAGGATTTTGTGAAGAGAAAAGAGGGTTTATCTGAATGACTGGTGATTGAAGGAGGGTCAGCCTGGCAAGTGGAAGACTCTGAGGGCATGTGGAGCCCAGGGTCCTGGAAGGCAGGAGCCCCAGTCCCTGCTGACCCATCACAGCTAGAAGGCGGTGTGTGTGAGGGGAAGGGCGCCGGGGAAAGAGCCTTGGGGACAAGAGGAAGAGGCTGTTGCGTCTTGTGGAAGAGCAGTTTGCTTAACTAGAGAGTCTTTTCGGCCAACGTCTTGCCCACAGGTGTCTCAGCCCCTAAATGGGTCACAAGCTTCTGTCTCCACCAAGGCCCTCCGGAAGGCAGAAACCTGACAAGGGGCACAGGATGCCCCTTGAGACTGTAGGCTCAGCCTTGAAACAGGAGAGCTTCACAGAGACAGAGACACTGCGCACGGTCCTTGAAGAACGGGCAGGCTTTCCTGAGAGAACGAGGAGGTCAGTGGAGAGGGACAGGGCTTTTAGTGCACAGCGAGCTGGTGTTCTGAGACACCCATGGACCCAGCCCGTGTGGGTCTGGAATGTCAACCTTATTGTCAGAACATGGTTGCGAGATATGGAACTCTTAACACAGAGCCATCGTAATTAAATGGAATGTGTTGATTCCATAACTGAAAGGTGACTTGGCTGGGTGACTAGGTGGCTGGTGACTGTGTGTGTTGGTCAGTCATGTCCGACTCTCTGCAACCCCATAGACTGTAGTCTTCCGGGGATCCTCCAGACAAGACTACTGGAGTGGGTTGCCATTTCCTTCTCCAGGGGATCTTCCCGACCCAGGGATTGAACCTGGGTCCCCTGCACTGCAGGCGGATTCTTTACCGTCTGCGCCAGCAGGGCTGGTGACGAGGGGACTCAGACAATGACGTGAAGGCTTGATTTCTCTCCAGGCCTCTGCTTTGTGAGTGGGCTCAGGCAGTGAAGACGCAGCCCCAGCCGCACACTAACCTCTTGTTTAAAGACCGGGATGGGTCTCTTTTGCCCAACCGAGATCATGGCCCTTCCCTTCCACTGTGGCTGAGGGTTTGGAGCTCTATCCTATGGTCCGGATGAGGATGGTGACGTTTGGGATCTTGGGTTCAGCAATGGCACCACGGTGTTGGTTGGGATGTATGAGGCCACACCAGTGAAGAGACCCTTGCTGGCACCGGCCTACATGATGGAGATGAAATGCCCGGAATCCCCCTGCTCGCTGGCCCCCAGCCCTCCTGACTGGGGCACAGTGACATGTGGCCACTGGCCAGCTCTGCTCTCTTGCAGAAGTTCTGTGTGTCCCATCTCAGGGCTGAGCCTTGAAATCAGGCTGGCCCACACTCAAACAGGCAAACGGCCTGGATCACCCTGGCCCTGTTCTCAGGAATTGTTATTTTTCCTTCTCTCTGATGCTCAGCCCTTTTCTTCCAGCTCCATTCCTGGGTCCACCTGGCTTCTGACTTTCCCAACTTTGTTCCTGTCTACTGTGAGCTCAGTGCTCTGCTTGAGTGGTGCTTGGCACCCCTGAAGACACACACAGCCTGTGTGCATCTTGGCTCTTTGGGGGAACGGCCTACCTCACCCCAGTCCCATCCTGAAGTCAGTCCAGTGGGGTGGGGAGGGAGCAGGCTCCAGGGCGCAGGCAGGGGGCTGACACTGCGCGCCACCAGCTGCGTGCACTTTTGCATGAGTAACTCAGAACTCCTGAAATGCCATTCTGAAGGAATGATGCCTTCTTTTACACATGTTCCACAGCTAATACACATGTCCGTATGGTGGGTCTCCATCCCCTAACCTGGGACCTACATACTTCAGAAAGATGATGAGAAATTGGAGAGAGTCAAGGTAAGCATTCTACATGGATGAAAGACTGGGAGAAAAATAAACAGCTCTAGAGAAAAGGATGCAATAACAATCTGAAACGTGTGAAGAGATGGTTACCAAGGAGACATGTGACCTTTGGGACTTCCTCAGCAGTCCAGTGGTTAAGTCTTTGCCTTCTACCGCAGGGGGCGCAGGTTCCATCCCTGGTCAGGAAACTAAGACCCACATGCCACATCTTGTAGCCAATTAAAAAAAAAAAAAGATGTGGGACCTTAAAAGGGTTTCCCTGCTGGCTCAGACAGTTTAAGAATCTGTTTGCAGTGCAGGAGACCTCGGGTTTGATCCCTAGGTCGGAAAGATCCCCTGGAGGAGGGAATGGCAACCCACGCCAGTATTGTTGCCTGGAGAAGTCCATGGACAGAGCCTGGTGGGCTACAGTCCATGGGGTCGCACAGAGTCAGCACTGCCCTCAGGGACTCAGTTTCCTCATCTGTAAATGAGGAGCAGAACTGAACTTTAATGTTCTTGTCATCCTAATCTCCAGCATCCTCAGAAAGAGGTGCCACCTTCCATATCCACTCTCGGGGAATCAAGACAGAATGACTTTGAATGTACTTTAAGCATTAAAAAAAAACTTCTGTTTTGAAAAAAAATGTGTACTTGCTGAAAAGTTGCAAGGAGGGGACAAGGAATTCCCATAAACCTTTCAGCTAGATGTACCAAATGGCAACATTCTTGTCATATTTAATTTTTATTTAGATAAAATTCACACACCTGACTTCCCAGGTGGCTCAGTGGTAAAGAATCCACCTGCCAATGCAGGAGATGCAAGAGACATGGGTTTGATCACTGGGTCAGAAAGATCTCCTGGAGAAGGGGATGGCAACCCACTCCAGTATTCTTGCCTGGAGAATCCCATGGACAGAGGAGCCTGGTGGGCTACAGTCTGTGGAGTTGCAAAGAGTCAGACACGACTGAAGTGCCTAAATGGCAACATAATTCACGTACCGTGAAATGCACCCTTGTGAAGTATAATTCAGTACTTTTTAATTTATTCACAAGGTTATGCAATCATCACCACTAATTCCAGAACATTTTTATCATCCCCCAAAGAAACCTGTGGCCATCAGCAGTCACTTCCCATTCCTGTCCCTGCCCCAGCCCTTTACAACCACTAATCTATTTTCTATCTCAATGGATTTGCCTGTTCTGGACATTTAGTGTAAATGGACGATGTGTCCTTTAGTATCTGGTCGGGAAGATCTCCTGGAGAAGGAATGGAAACTCACTCCAGTATGCTTGCCTGGAAAATCCCATGGATGGAGGGACCTGGCAGGCTACAGTCCATGGCGTTTCAAAGAGTTGGACACGACTGAGCAACTTCACTCACTCACTGTATCACTTAGCATAATGTTTTCAAGGCTCATCCATGTTGTAACATATGTCAATCCTTCATTGATTTGTGTGGCGAATATTCCACCATAGTTACATACCACACTTTGTTTATCCATCAGTCAGGCAAGTGACACGTTTCTGCTTTTTGGCTATTGTCAATAATGCTTCCATGAACATTTCTGTACAAGCCTTGCTGTGAACATGTTTTCAGTCCTCTTGCATATATGCCTAAGAGAGGAACTGCTGGGTCATGGTGACTCTTATGCTTAAGACTTTGAGGAACTGCTGGGCTGTTTTCTAAAGTAGCCACACCATTTCATGTTCCTATCAGCAACATACGAGGTTTCTAATGTCTCCACATTCTCGCCAACACTTATTTTTCCTTCTTCATGTTGAAACCTCTTTTCTGACATTACCTAAAGTTGAAAAATGACTCAAAATTCAAATTGGTCACGCAAGAAAGGATTTACTGGCTGAGAAACCAGAAATGCAGTGAATTTGTGGCTCCACAGGTGCTCTCTGGACCACTTCTCTCTCTCTCTCTCTCTGCTCCACTCCTGGAAGCTGGCTCCATTTCCTAGCCAGGCTTTTCCCTAGTGGTGATACAGAGACCAGCTAGCTTCAGGTTTTCCTTCGAGCACCAAGTTCAGCTGAAAACACAGCAAGCTTTT